GCCCCCACGGCCACTGTGCCCTGTCCCGGGGGTCTCTGACACCCGGTGTTACACAACTGCGTGCTGTGCCAGGCCCGCCTGGGGCCGGTGGTTGAGCATTAACCTCGGAGAAACCGGTTTCGCTCAAGTCTCCAGGGGCTAAATATATCTCTTGTTTGTTTTTCTTTCCCCCAAAAGAAACTTATCTGGCATATCCCCATAACGGAAACTAACTGGCTTTTTTGTTAAGGACTTCAAAAGGCTGCTGGCAGCAGCAACTGGCTGCGATGCTCCCAGGGACACAACTCCCGACTGTATGGAGATGCTCCCACGGACAAAGCCACTCTCTGTGCCAGGACAGGCAGCACGGAGCTCCCAGGACCACTTACAAACGTGGCCTCATGTGAAGCTTGCAGGAGCTGTGCATGTCTAAAAGGAAACGGATGAAATACACCACAGACACAATTTTATGACACGAGGAGACAGATTTTTACTGCTTAGAAGTCATGGACAGAAATGGAATAAAAATATTCAGGCCATCACATCAGCATCCTGTTCGAACTACCTGAGAGTTTGCAGCTGACCAACCCGCAGGGAAAAAGAGGATTAAAAAGGAGTTTATCCCAAGGGACAATGTCCAGCCTTCAGTCCCCTGGGTCATCATCCACCTGGGGTGCTGATCACACAGGGAAAAAGTGTGGAGCCTGAGCAGGAGCCACTACCCACTGACTCACCTGTGGGCACTGCCCTCCCAGCTCAGGCAAACACCAACACTGTCCATTCCAGGGCTCACCCACACCTGGCAGCAGGCTCTTGTTCTTTGGCAAAAGGATCAGACAGTGAAATGTCTCTACAGTAGAGGCAGCAGCAGTGTGAGAAGGACACAACATGACTCAGGAGCTTGTCTGAGCTGGCTTACAGTAGGAAAACACTCATGGAAGAGGATCCAGCTCCATGTCCTTCCCTCTTGCTACTCAAAACATGCCCAGAGCCTCCCAACAATCTGGCAGTGCTACGTCCCACTGTGTGAGACATTCTCCCTTTAGTAGCAGCTTCCCACGCTACCTTCTTCCTCCTTCCCATAAGGCATCTATGGCTTTTGAAGATTTTTTTTCTTTTTTTAAAAAACTCAGCAAAATTAGCGACCATGGGATGTCTGGAACCGCCTGTGCTGACTGCAGCACATCCAGCAGCGAGGATGAAATCTGCTACAAACACACTTTTCTTCAGCCAGCAGCTCAAACTGGAAGTGGCCCGACTTGAGGCCACAAACACCGCAGAGACGCTGAGCAGGCAAAAGAGCGCAGAGGTGCGTGCCAGCCCACGCCACGCAGAGCTGTGCCAGACAACGGTCCTGGTTCCAGTGTCGGGCTCTTCGAGGCTCCAAAATGCACAGCCCCACCCAGCCCTACCTCAAGGGGAAGGAGAAGTACTTGTTCCCTGACTTGCAGCGGATTTGCTCCCATTGGATACGCAGCAGGAGTGCTGACTCCTCAAACCCATCCACAATGTTCTGGAAAATAGAGGCAGGAGTCAGTACCAGCAGGGCGGATCTGCCAGAGGATGGAGTTGACAGCTCCCTTTCTGAAGCAAGTCACAGATGAAGCCATTTGCAGCTGGAAGCCTCTGACTTCCCTCAGGAGAGTGATTTAACTCACACTCCCTGCAAAAGCTTCTCATCTTTTAGCCCAGTGAAGTTTGTCCTGCTCAGTGAAGAGAATTTCCCACCCTCGGACCCTGGCAGGGAGATGTGGCTGGACTCCAGCTCTGCCCTCCCCCTGCTCTCCACAGCACGTGGGGACACACCTGGAGCTCCCGCAGACACTGCCCTTCCAGCCTGCCAGACAGGTCCCCGACACACCAGGCCAGGCTGATGTGGAACGATGGGTCCTGAAGAAAAAACAGGGATAAGAATGTGAGGGCTAATGGAGGCTTTGGTGGATGCACAGAGCCACAGTGGGAGATCTAGCATGGTGCTGCTGCCCTGCCTGGGATCACAGAGGCTGCAGGATCCCCAGGCTGGGAGTCCCCTCTGCCAACTCAACAGCTGCAGAGCCGATATGGACAGTGCTGGAGGCAAGAGGAGTCCTGGGCTTCCCACCCCAGCCCTTTTGGACACCAGTGGGCAAGGCTGCCTGGTTCCCAGCCTCCCTGTGCTCCACTCTGCAACTCTGTGCTCAACTTCTCCCCACTCTTTTGTGGAAGAATCTCTCAGAACTGGTCCTGGAGCAGGTACATGGGTGACATCTGAATAATCCTGCTCAGCTCTAGAGACAGACTAACTGGGATCTGGCCCTTCAAAAATCCCAAACCTGTTCCCAAAGCTAGTACTAAGCCAAAAGGCTGGACTAATGCCCAAGAAAGCTGCCCAAGGCAAAGACACAAGGATTGTCCTCAGTCCAGCAGTGCCCATTCTATCCTAGGACAACTCTGCTTCCATGCACAGCAGGGCAGCCACTGCAACTGGCTCCTGTTTATTTGAGTGAACATCTTGCAGGGAACCAGCTGGCATGTCCAGACTGGCAGGGGAGCAAGCAGGAAACGCCTCACCTTGTAGAATGTGGGAAGGTCAAATTCCTCTAGAACACCGTCCACCTCTGAGACCAGCTCCAGCAGCTGGAAATGCCCAGCAGAGACCTCCAAGCCAATAAAGGTCCTAAAGAAAGGCAAGCAGAGACAGCAAGCACCCTTTCATGCTGCAGGAAACACAGCCTTAATACTTAGCCCTTCATTCCTACTGGGCAAGTTCCCTACTCCCCCTAACACAAGGAAATCAGAGGAATGCCAGGTTTAAGCATGCAGGGACGCTGATTGTATTCTGAAGAAAAACCAAAGATGTGGTAGCAGGGAGAAGCAGGACTGGATGATAAAGCACGTATCTAGATTTGCTAGATTAGCCTAGTACATTATGGGACATGAAAATCAGTTTTCTAGGCAAAGGATGCACTGGATGGGAATTTCAGCAGAGTGCCATGCTCATGCAGGAGCTGCATTAAAAAAGTGGAAGTTGCTGGAGAGATTTTACAGTGTGAGAGGAAGCAGGGAGTGGGAAGTACCAAGCTGGAGAGATGTGACAAAGAGGTCAGCACCTCCTCCAGGACTGTCGGGATGACACTTTCTAGAGTCATTTACAGTAATCATTTCTTCCCCTCTAGGAGGGAAGCAGAAGATTCAAGTGTGACCCAGGTTCCATATCCATTTTTTCCTACCCATGACTATCTTGGGCTGCCTTTCTCGCCAGATTAAGCAACTTTCTGCAATTTTAATCACCTTTGCTTTGACATTCAAAAAAAGTTAATTGCATTCCGTTGGAATCAGGCTTCTGAGCTGACGCCCAGGAGAATTAGCACCATCTCAGCTATTTCTCTCCAGCTCTTGGAAGACCTGCACTACAATTTCATAACTGGCACTGCTGCCAAAAGAGGTGGGCCCACTCTGCTCGCCCCAGGCTGTGCATGCCGGCTAATGAGACCAAAGCTTGCAAAGAATTAATGCCAAAGCTAAAAATTTGTACAGATGGCTGGGGAAAGGTGTGAAATGTCTGGAGATGATCTGGAGGTGATCACATACTGTGTTGTCACACAGCCCAAATTTTGGGACAGGCAGGGTGACACTTCCCATCCATCCAGCACCTTGCTCAGATTTCTCCTGGGGCAGGCAGGCTGCTCCACCGTGCACTCACCTGGTTTTGTTCTGGTTGGTGTAAACTTTCACTTGGTCAGCCACACAAAAGAACCTGAAATAAGAAAGATCCTATTTCAGCTGCAGGAGGAAAAAAAGGAAAAAAAAAATTATGAGGAGAGGCCAGGATTGTTACCAAGCCATGGAAAGATACAGGCAAATATATGCTGCAATCAGACCAAATTGGTGTAACCAGAACCTCTTGGGGCTCGAATTAATTAATTCCCTGTTTCCAGCCCTCAAAAGCCTGGACAGTGACAGAAACCCTGAAGCAGCTGATGCTCAACCAGCACCTGAGCCACACATAAGCAACAAAACCATGCATGCTTTAGGGGATGGCACAGCTCTGGCCTGATCCTGGAAAGCCAAAACCTGATGAGTCTGGTGCCAGATCATAAGGCAGTGAGAAAAAATCCCCAGGGCTTTAATGTTCTGCCAGCACCATCTGCCAGGGACACCTTAGGGCGTGGATGCTGGCAAAACACGGATCCCGAGAGCAGAGGAGGGGTGCGAGGAGCGCTCCCCCGGGCTCTGCCAAACCCACCTGTGGAAGGCGGCCAGGCGCTCCCTGAGGGAGCGAACGAAGGGCTCTATCCAGTGGTAGCGCAGCACCACGCACTGCGAGAGGCTCAGGTGGAACTCCTCCATGGCAGCCAGCGACGGGACGTAGGTGCGGGCGCGGGACACCAGCAGCTCCAGCAGCTCCAGGAATTCCTCCTGGGCAATGTCTGCGGGGCAGCGCCGTCAGAGGAGCGCTGCCCGCGGATCCCCGCCGGACCCTGGGGCGCAGCGGCCGGGGTCCGTCCCGCCATCCTCCCGGGCCCACCCCGGTCCCGGTGCCGGTACCTACAGGGCAGGTAGACGTGCGTGGCCCAGTTGCCCCGCTCGTGGGGGAAGCCGCGCACGCGGCCGCCGTGCCGGGAGCTGTCATCGCTCACGGCCTCCTCCGGGTCCGGGTCTCCCGGCAGGCCGGCGGGCGCGGGCAGGCGGGGGCGGCCGGCGCTGCGGGACCGGAGCGGGGTGAGGAGGAGGAAGAGGAGGAAGAGGAAGGCCGCGCGCTCCCGCCACCTCCCGCGCGCTCCCGCCGCCACCACCCCGCCGCACCCACCTGGCCCCGGGGGGCCCCTGCGCGCCGGCGCCCCGGCTCCCCCCTTGCTGCTCCTGCTCCTCCTCGGAGCTGCTGTAGCCCACCAGCGCGGCGCTCATGGCCGCGGCCCCCGCCGGGACACCGCGCTCCCCGCTGGCGGCGGCCGCGCAGTTGCCGGCGCGGCCCGGCAGGGGGCAGCACCCGCCGCGGCCGCCCCGCCTCCTCCGCCGCCGCCGCGGCCGCCCCGGCCCGGCCCGCTCCGCTCCCTCCGCTGCGCTCCCGCCCGCCGCTCGCTCCCTTCCCTCCCTCCCCTCCTCCCTCCCGGCTCCCGCCTCCACGCCAGCGCGGGGCTCGGGCGCAGCGCGCAGGCCGCGGCCCTGCCGCCGGCGAGGCCTCCTCCCGCCGCAGGTGAGCGGCCCGACCGCCGCCGCCGCCCTTTGTGTGCGCCTCGCCGGGGTGGGGGCGGCCCCGGGCGGGCGGCGGCCCCCGACACCCGACCCCGCCGCGGGGCCTCCCCGCGCGGCGGCGGCGGCGAAGGCCGCGGGGCGTCGTCCCCGCGCTGCCAGCGGGGCCGCCCGATGGGGAGCGGCGAGCGGCGGGCCGGGCCTGGCCGCGGGCTGCGGCGGCGGCGGCTGCCGGTGGCCTGCGAGCTCCGCGGCCGCCCCCGCGCCCCGCGGCCCTGAGGCGGCCCGGGCCCGGCGCCAGCGGCCGGGCCATGCCGAGCAGGCCGCCTCGCCAGTTTGAAAGTACCTCTGCGCTCCCGACCGCGCTCCCTAAATGGTTGTCGCTTCCCACCTCCCACGGAGGGATGAGTTAGGCTGGAGCTGGCGCCGACGCGGGTCCCCGCGCTGAGCCCTCGGTAAGCCAAGGTTGGTATCGCTCTTCCCTGCGAGGGGCACAGTCTTCGCTCCCCGTTAGGCCGGGATGCTTCGCCGGCGGGTTCATCCTGCCGCGGTTTGCGGTGTGTGCGGGGGAAGGCGGCACCCGGCCTGGGCTGAAGTTTGGTGTCCCGCCGAGCTCGGGTGCGGTACCGTCAATGCGAGCCCTCGCTTTGTCAAGGTGAGCTCTGTAGGAGAAGGAGGCATCTTGCGTGCCAGCAGGACTGCGATGGCGCCTTTGGGGGCTTTACTGCCCGAAATTGTGCTGGAGCACAAAATAATGAAGTGTTTCCACAGTCAGAGGTGGGTCCTGCACTACCTGAGCTGTGGGGCTGGACCCAGTCTACTGAGTGCCGGTGGACTGTGGACGCTGGGAAGTGGGATTCCCTGGTATGCTTTATTGCATAGTTTTAAACATAAAAAATATTCTTGTGGACCAAGGATTTCCTTACCCTGGGGGCAAGTGGTTTGACACAGATATAGGGGTGCTCTTATGGGGCTCAAGGCTCCGGAGTGTTGGTGGCTGCTGCTCACCAGGGCTTGCACCTTCTCTCCTGAGGAGTGTTGACACTGCAGCTGTCTGCTGCTTGCCTGGTGGGTCTTATTCTTCTCTAAGTTGGTGTCAGCTTTTAATGGACATATCTAAAAGGCGGAACTTTTCAGTGAGCACAAGCCTGATGATGTTCTGTAGCAAGGCCAGGCTGCAGCTCTGCCATAGGTTGGTTGGCTTCAGTGTACTTTTATTACATGGTTTGGTAGGAGGTTCAGCTAAGCCACTGCTTTAACTCTTCTTTTATCTTCACAGAGTGATGCCTGTGGGTTCTGTGCTCTGTCTGAGGATAGGATAACACTGAGGGCAAACATTCTCCTGAGCTCTCTGGCTCTTCCAGTCTGCAAGTGCTGCCCATGGAGGGGGAAATACTTTGCACACATCCCTTGGGTAATGGGTTTGCTATTCAGGAGCAGAACCGTTTCACAGAGCTGTTTCAGCTGGGGTGGGATCACGTTAGGATCTGCATTGGTGTGTGTAGAATCTAGCCTTTGATTGCATGGTGTTTGGTGCATAGCCTGTGCAGAGAGACAGATGTTCTCAGACAGTGCCACAGCACTGCTGGAGATGCAGTGACCCACTCAAGGCTGAGCTGAGCGGGCCCTGGGCAGTTGTGCTGCCTCTTGTGAGAGCACAACACCCAAACATGTGCCTGGCTGTGTCTGGGCAGAGCCCAGCCCTTTCCAGGCTGAGAACTCCTTGTCCCAGGCCCTATGCACAGCAGCAAGTGGGCTCCAGTTCCACACTGGCTTCCTGGTAGCTTTGCAGGGATGCAGGAGAGTTTTCAGAGAGAGCCATGGGAGAAGGTTGATAGAGAATTGCCCATGTTTCTTCTAAGACCTGACAAGAGCTGTCTTCTGTCTTACAGAGAGAGCTGCTCCCTGGGTTGCCTCCTGTACCCTTCACAAGTGTGAGCACGTCACAGCCAGCAGAGAAGAGCCTCCTCTCGTCTTCAAGGCACTTGCCTCTGCCTCCTGTTCCTTTGTCCAAAAGAAGGAAAAGTCAGACCATATCAGTCCATAAGGAACCTGTGCTGGTCTAAGGAGGAGGCTCTGGAGTGTCTTCACCTCTTTTCTTCCCAAGATCCTGGCTGTGGGCTGGATTTTCTGGTCTCAACTTGAGGGGATCATTTACAGGGAATCAGGATCTCAGAATCTTTTGGTCTTGCTTTTACTTGAACCCTTTCATCCGGGAAGCTGAAGCTATCACTGCTAAAATCCCATTTTTTTCCCCAAGCATGTCAGAAAGCTGGCAGCAGCAACAGCAGCAACCACAGCAGCCGCCGCCACCGCAGCAGCACCACGCTGGGGCAGCCGCCCTCCCAGAGCACTCCATCCCTCCCAGCACTGCTGACAACCCCCTGGGCTGTGCCGTGTACGGCATCCTGCTCCAGCCGGACCCCGGACTGCAGCACCACCAGCACGCCCCCATCCAGGCTGGAGAGCCCTCCCACAAGTGCGGGGTGTGTGGCCATGACCTCGCTCACCTCTCCAACCCCCATGAGCACCAGTGCTTGCCGAGCCATGACCGCTCTTTCCAGTGTACCCAGTGCCTGAAGATCTTCCACCAGGCCACCGACCTCCTTGAACACCAGTGTATCCAGGTGGAGCAGAAGCCCTTTGTGTGCGGGGTTTGCAAGATGGGCTTCTCCCTCCTCACCTCGCTGGCGCAGCACCACAATGTCCACAACGGCAACGCCATGAAGTGCTCTATCTGTGAGAAGACCTACAAGCCCCCCGAGGTAGAGCATTCGCAGCCTCTCGACCCCTCGGAGAAGCCCTACAGCTGCTCCATCTGTCAGAAAACCTTCAAGCACCTCTCGGAGCTGTCCCGGCACGAGCGCATCCACACGGGCGAGAAGCCGTACAAGTGCACCCTGTGCGACAAGAGCTTCAGCCAGTCCTCTCACCTGGTGCACCACAAACGAACGCACAGCTCGGAGCGGCCCTACAAGTGCACGGTGTGCGAGAAGACCTTCAAGCACCGCTCCCACCTGGTGCGCCACATGTACGCGCACTCGGGGGAGCACCTCTTCAAGTGCAACGTCTGCGAGCTGCACTTCAAGGAGTCCTCGGAGCTGCTGCAGCACCCCTGCACGCCCAGCGGGGAGCGGCCCTTCCGCTGCGGGGAGTGCCAGAAGGCCTTCAAGCGTCCCTCGGACCTGCGGCAGCACGAGCGCACGCACAGCGAGGAGCGGCCCTTCAAGTGCGACCTGTGCCAGATGAGCTTCAAGCAGCAGTACGCGCTCATGCGCCACCGCCGCACGCACAAGGCCGAGGAGCGCTTCAAGTGCAACCTGTGCGAGAAGGGCTTCGTGCAGCCCTCGCACTTGGTGTACCACCAGCACGTGCACGGCATAGAAAACCTCTTCAAGTGCAACGTGTGCCAGAAAGGCTTCAACCAGTCCTCAGAGCTGCTGCGGCACAAGTGCGTGCAGAACGCGGAGCGGCCCTTCAAGTGCGCGGTGTGCAACAAGTCCTACAAGCGGGCCTCGGCTCTGCAGAAGCACCAGCTGGCCCACTGCGCCGAGAAGCCGCTCAAGTGCACGCTCTGCGAGAGACGTTTCTTCTCCTCCTCGGAGTTCGTGCAGCACCGCTGCGACCCCGCCCGCGAGAAGCCCCTCAAGTGCCCCGACTGTGAAAAGCGGTTCAAGTACGCGTCGGACCTGCAGCGCCACCGGCGCGTGCACACGGGCGAGAAGCCCTACAAGTGCTCCTCCTGCGAGAAGGCCTTCAAGCAGCGCGAGCACCTCAACAAGCACCACAGCGTGCATGCCCGGGAGCAGCAGTACAAGTGCATGTGGTGCGGGGAACGGTTCCTGGACTTGGGCCTGCTGCAGGAGCACAGCGTCCAGCACACGGCCGAGGGTGCCTACCAGGTGGCTGCCTGCTTGCCATGAGCCTCCCGCCCCACGGTGGCTTTCAGCTTGCATGGGACATTCCTGAGCCTTGGCCTTCCCTTCCCTCTCCTCGGTTGTTGGCAACCTCCAGGGAGGGTGGGGGAAAGGGAGGGTACGGTGTGTGGGCAGGTAAACTTTCCTCTGGCCTCAGTTATGCCTCCTGTATCGAAGTAGCAACTGATGATGTGGACATCTCAAAAGGCGTGGAAAGGAGAGGAGGGAGGTGGAGAGAGGAAACTGCCTGTAGATGCCTGGTGTTCCCTGGACTGTAGTTTGTGCTGTACCTGCAGTTCCAGTCCTGGGAGCTCAGCTGTCTGTTGCAGGCACCAGCTCTTTGCGTGCAGCCTTTTTCCCCTGCCCTGCCTGGCAGGGTTGGTGGCAAGGATTGTGTGACTCTCCTTCTGGAGAGGGTTTAAGAGCAAGGCAGAGCCAGCCCTCCCTTCTCCTAGGGTGTGCTGCTCGGCGTAGAGATGGAAGGTTTCTGCTGCTAGGGTCTCCCAACTTGGTCCAGGCTCAGTTGAGGGCATCATTTCAGATCATTACTGTTGATTGACTGCCCCAACCTCCCCTGCTCTCCCTCCTTCTAGAGTGTTGAAAGGGAAAAGCCATGGGGCTTCACAGCTCCAAAAAGCACTTTGGCATTGCTGCTTTTGCAGTTGCTGGCTGTCACACTCTGCAAGGGTTCTGAGTGAGCCTGCCTGCCCCCTGTCCCTGCTAGCTGCACAGGGAGCTGTAGGAAGCACTGCGCTGCCACCAGAAAGCATGGCAAGGAGCACTGGGACAGTCTGCCTGGCAGGAGGTCACAGATTCTCCCTCTCTGGAGACATTCATAACCCACCTGGACATGTTTCTGTGTAACCTGCTTTAGGTGACCCTAACTCAGCAGGGGGTTGGACTAGATAATCCCCAAAGGTCCTTCCAGCCCTAACAGTTCCATGATTCTGTTACAGCATTCATACCCTGCTCCCGACCAAAAGCCTGGCATTCAGGAGCTGCTTCCCAAGGGATTTATCCCTCCTGCTGAGCCTTGCCTCCAGCCCCTTGAGCACCCCTTGGGCTGACAGTGGTACCTCCAGCAGGGCCAGGCAGTGGGCTGTCACAGCTCCAACACTAAGGGGTGAGATGAACACTACAATAACCTACAACTGCAGAGGTGTTGCCAGCAGTAACCCATGGCACGTGCTAGGGGCTTGGTGTCTGATTTGCTGGAGGAACCAGAGCGAGCCAGGAGAATCCTTTCTGGACTGCAGGCTCAGCTCCATGGGGAGGGCAAAGTTAGCAGTGGGTAAAGGAGAAGTCTATTTTTTCCCCCCTTGCAGGAGTCCTGTTTTACCCTTTTGCCCTTTCTTTACCTCGTCTGTATTTTTCAGGTTTTGCACACTTCTTGTAAACATCACTTAAAAATAAATCTCCCCTAGCAAGGTTGATGCAGCCTCAGGTGTTTTCCTCTGCAGGAATTTGCTGGCTTCTCATGTCCAAGATATCCATTGCATATCAGTTAGATGCCTTGAAGGTTGAAGATGTGCCTACTAGGTTGTCCCCCAGCTTTCCATCTTTGGAGATATTAAGTATCCATTTGTGGAGATGTTTAAGTCCCTGGCTGGAGGTGGTCCTGGACAACCTGCTGTAGCTGACCCTGTGCAAGCAAGGACTTGGACCTGGGGGTCTTCAGAGGTCCCTGCCAGCCTCAGCTCGTCTGTGGTGTTGGCTGGTGCTCTTGTGAGGTTGTAGTGAGCAGCAGCCAGTATGTGCTGCACACGTGATTAGGACAAGGTTAATAACTCTTGTCCATGGCAAGTGTAGACAGATTAACCGTGCAGAGGGTTGGACTGGGCCTGCATCTCTGTTGGGGACACTTGTCTGAAAGGTGGGGAAAGGCTTTAGTTTAACATTTCCAGCAACGTGAGGGGGAACAGAGTGCATTGTCAGGGGTTGGGACAGGGAAGTGACAGGGTAGACTCTGGGGCTGAGCCTTTTTCATGTGCAACTGTAAGGTGATTAAAACAGACTCTGCTCTCTGCTGCCCAAGGAAGAGGGACCCATGATGGTTATCTTACTTTGTGCTGCCTCAAAGATGTGGAACTTCCTACCAAGTTTTCCATCTGTGTTTCTTTTTCCTCTTTTTTTTTGTTTTACCTTTTTTTTAAAAAAAGCAGTTTGTTAAAATTCATTAAAAATACTGTATAGTTTAACTTGATGTCATACTGAATCTTAAAAAAAAAAAAGAGGTGTGGTAACTTGGATTTTTAAAGAGCTCTTTAGTTCTAGGTAGCTGGTTTTTGCTGTTTAATATGTAGTAAGTTCAGTGTATGCTTTACTGTAGGAGTAAAAGAGAGTCCAAACAAAGGAAGGTGAATCCTGTCTTTACAGAAGGGCTTGGTGGTGATGGAGGCTGCAAATGTGGGACCAGGTGGGGACTGTGGCACCCACCTGAACCCATGCTCTGTTCCTGCCTGGGGCCATGGTTCCTCTGCTCTTGCCCAGCACAGCTGCCAGGAGCTTAGTGGTCACTTGGGCACAGCACTGGCAGCCAGCATCAGTGCCCAGGGCTCAGAGCTTGCAGAAAAACTCATCTTTGCTAGGAGGAGGTGGTGAGATCGAGTCAGCTGCAGCCTCCACGGGCTGTTGTGGCTCTGTTGTTTCTTTCTGGGGCAGCCGTTGGCTAGAGGAGAGTTTGGAAAAATCATCAGCTGGCTGTGCCCTGCTCTCTTCTCTCCCCCAGAGCCCAGGAGAGCTGCCTGGGTGACTGCCTGGCACTTGGAGCAGAGGAGAATGGTGGTGAGCCCCAGATACAGCCCCACACTGTGCAGGAGCTGCTAGACCCTGTCCCCTTGGTACAGCTGGACATAGGGACTGTTGGGGGGTGTTTCTCTTCTGCTGAGCAGCTGGGAAAGTCCTGGATGTCCCAGTGAGGAGCTCTGGCTCTGCCTAGGATGTGGCAATGGCTGAGCAGTGCCCTGGGCAGAGAGACTCATCAGGGCTGTGGGACCCCATGCCAGGGAGGGAGGGGATGCTATGGGGAGCTTGGCAGGGATGAGCCCATGTCCAGGTCATCAGCTGGTGAATAGGTGCCTCCAGGCTCAAAAACATCATGGTGCAGGATTAGAATATGATTATTAGGACTGGCTGTGAGTCCATGGTGACTCAGTCTCTTGTGTCATTTGCTGCCCTGCAACAGCCCAAATCCAGCTGAAGCCCATGGAGAACACGCAGCTGGAGCTTGCAGGCGGAGGACCTGTGTGGGGTGGGCACTGAGTGGCCACAGAGAGCTTTGGGTATATTTTTATAGGAGCATTTTCTAGTTGGAAGCAGCAGTGTTGCCTACAGGGCTAGGGGAACCAGGTCCACCTCCATTGCTGTGCCTTCAGGTCATGGTTTTTCCAGTGAGGTGGGAGGTGGAGGAAGTAGCAGGAGGCACATGAGTGTCAGGGGCTGTGCTGCTGTGTGGGGAGGCACAGGCTGGCCTGGGAGCTGATGTCCCTGGGGCATCACACTGCAGGGCTCTGCTGACTGCTGGTGTTTCCTTTTCAAACCAAAGAGCAGCTGGGGCCAAAGCCCTTTGGGGAGTAAACCGTGTCTCTACTCTGTACCTGTTGCACTTCACTTCTGGTGTTTATTTCAAGCAACTTTCAAGCTCCTGACTCTGCTTGGCCTCTTGCATTCCTCACTGCCCTGCAGCACCTCAGAGAGTTGCTGTGTGCTGGAGCTGGTGTGGCATCAGCCCTGTGGCAAGTGCTCGAGCCAGTTCAGGAGTGGCTGGCAGCCCACCCAAGGGTGCTGAGGGGCTGGGTGGTGGGGGGTCCCTCCCAAAGGGTGGTTCTCTTTGGCTGGCAGTCTGAGCATAGGGTGCTACGGAGTAGGTGGAGAGGAGGGTTAGGTTGGGCAGAGCTTGTGTGGGTGTTCTCCAGGACTTAAGTCCTGCTTTCTAGGGCTGCTGTTCCTCTGGCTTCCTGGGTCCAGGAAAAGGTAGTCTGTAACCTGGGCTTTTACTGATTTTCACTTCCCTTGACCCTACCTACAGGATGCCTTTAGCTGTCTCAGCTCCTTCCACAGGTTATAATTTTAAAAGACATTCTCAGCTTCTTTTCTCTTTGTTCAGTTCTTTATTTGTAAGCAGTGGTTTGCTTTTATTCCTTCTTCCATACTGATTGTGTAGTTTCTTCCTTTGTTCCTACCTCCCTGTGCTCTCCCCAGCCCCAAATTCCTTTCCAGGCTGAGGCTGGATCCAGGTGATACCAAACCACTGATGGTGAGATCAGGTGTTTAGGATCTGAGTCTTGCTGGAATCCAGTGGGTGCATCTGGTCCTTCCCCACAGCAGGCCATCCATTTCACTGGGCATGGGCAATGCCTGTGACCTGGCTGCTTGGCATGGGATCCAAGCCAGAACCAAGAGCCAGAACAGAGCTGCAGGAAATGAGGACTGGGGTGGGAACTGCCATGTCCACCTCTAAAGGCTGGGGATTAAGTCAGTGAAGGACTGTCAGACATTCCTGGGGACATGTCATGGCCCTGGGCTGGGCTCAGACAGTGCACTTGGTTCTCCTGGGATTGCTGTGTGCATCAAGCAGGCAGCTGAGCTGAGGTAACTGTGGCATGGATGCCCCTGGGACCAGGGGATGCTCAGGTGGCCATGCCAGCTCTCTGGTGAGCAGATGCCATCTCTGCAGTCTGGGTGGGAAGATGTTCACGCTCTGGTCTTGGGGCCCATGTACTGGACTGAGGGACAAAGGGGAAAGCATCCTCTGACAGAGTTTTGGGACCATCTCTGGGTACTCAAGCCTGCCTGTGCAGGGAGAAGAGGAGGGAGGAGAACACTTTCTGCATTTCCGTTGGGTATTTATCATCAAGTCCAGGCTGCAGCTGAAGCCTGACCATTAAAAAATAGGCAAAACCCTCTTATACTTCAGAGTTTGACTCTTTCTCCGTTGGGTGGTGAGTTCACCTGTGGGAAGGTTCCTGTGCATGCAGGTGAAATGCTGAGATTCACTAAGGGCAGGCCAGTGATGTTTGGGGCTGGCAGCTCCCCCAGGCCCAGGTGAGCACCCAGCTTCTCCCCAGCTGCCCGGCTTCCTCCGCAGCATCTCCTGGCAGCTGCCTCTGGCACTTTCTGGATGTGAAGATGCTGCTGTCACAGCGTGCCTGGGATGCTCAGTGGGGAGAGCAGGACCACAGGTGGGAGCTGGACTGTGGGCTTGTTTCTGAGTGCCTCCAAGCCGTGGATCTGAGGGACTTCATGGTCAGTGAGATTCTTGGGTGCCTCCCAACCTGTGGTCACGACTCCAGTAGAGTTCCTGGGGCTGTTGGAAGTCACAGCCAAGGTTGCTGAGGTTTGTGTGGCTTGCAGTGCCTTTAACACTGCTCTCCATGTGTTTCTAAGATGATACTCCATGTATGTGTGTATATATATTGTAATAACACATCCCGCTCTTCTGTGTGAGTGTCAAATGGTTTTGCTTTACTAATAAATTTATAGTTATTTATACCTTCCTGTGGGTGTGTAAGGTTTCTGGAGTGGAGGCCATGTGCCAAGCACTGCCTCCTCATCTGTCTTTGTGCTCTGTCTGGCTCTGCTTGGGTTTTTTTGGTTTTTTTTTTTCATGTTTTCTTTCTTTCCCCTGAACTTTTTTGAAGTACAATTGATGGTTCATCTTCCTGGTAACCAGAAGATGCAGGGTACGAGCAGGCTTCCAGGGGCCAAAAGCAAACACAAGCAGAGTATGCTGAGTGTGTTTGCCCCTGCTAGAATTAGAATGATCCTTCCCCAGGGCAAAATTCCTCCCTGGGAGCTTCAGGGCAGGAGCAGACAGGATTCTCTTCCTGCCAGAAAGGAGCAGCTGTTCAGGGGGCAGAAGCTGCTGCATGTTGTGCTCTGGGATCCCAGCCCCACATTCAACTGTTCAAGCTTCTCCTGAGGGTTTGTTTTGCATCCCCATGCTGTGATAGCAAGAGAGGAGCCCACTGCAGAGATGCCAGGGCCAGGCACGATGGATACTTGTTGCCCACCAGGATGGAGACACCCATGGAGCCAGGGAAGGAGGAAGCAGGTCAGGGAGCTCCAGCGCTGCTCCAGGGAGCTCTGGGGTGCAGAAACAGGCTGGACATGGGGCAGAGAAGCCATGCTGGTACCTGGATTCCAGGGTGTCACTGTGGCCAGGATTAGGGGCAGTGGGAAAGGCTGGCAGTCGTGCAGGGCTGGAGGTAAACGGATCAAGCAGCAATTGGCAGGCTCAGCAAGGGGAGGCTTAGCCCAACCCAGCACAGATTTGCTGTCGTCGCTCTGGAGCTGGGGCAGAGCTGTGGGTGGAGCACCCTTGGCACATCACCTTGTGTCACCCCACGGGGTTCAGCAGCTCCACTGCTGCTGCTCTGCACATCCTGCACCCACCTGCACTTGGGTGAGACGACTGCCTTCCCCACAGCGCTGCCGGTGAGTGCCTGGGGTAGCTTTGGTGGCTCCAGGGATTTGGAGCATGCTCAAACCTGTTTGATTTTGGGGTTTATTTTGCAGCACTCTGCACCTAAACCAGGCTGGCTGCTGGAAGCCAGGGCACTCAGGACAGCTGGGTGCCAGTAATCCCATTTGCAGGCAGCACAGGGCTAATCCTCACAGAGCCCTGAGCCGATTGAGGTGGGATGGGGGGGTCAGTGGCGAGCTGCAGTGGCCAAGGGAGCCCACACACCCCAGGGGTGGCTTCCCAGGGAGGCAGTGCTGAGCTGCGGGGGTAAGTGGCAGCGAGGGAGGCAAGGGACGTGGCTGGGATCTGCAGGGCCACCTCTCACATCACAGGGGGGTTGGTGATCCGAAAGAGCGGAGGATGAGCTGTGCCGGTCCATCAGGAGAGATGCTGCGAGGGCTGGGTAATGGGGAGCATTGATCAGCTGCTGGGGGGAAGGAAAGGCCACGGTGCTCCCTGCTCCAAATGAGGCCGGGGTCTGTGCCCTTCTTGCTCTTAGAAATGAGACTAAGGCCCTTTGCTGGCTGGCAAAAGGAGCTGCCACAATCGGTGGTGGCACCACTGGATGCCTGCAATGCAGCAGGATGCACAAGGCCACCAACTCTTTTGTGTCATTGTATGCAAATCCTGGATACTTATTCCTATTTCTTTCAGCAGCTAGTTTTGTGGGGACCCACAAATGTTTCTGCTTATTTCTTGTTCAGACCTCGCAGAGGAACAGCCTCTGCCCTCTGCTTTCTTTCCCAGACCAAGGACAGGGATATGGTTGGTCCAGGCTTTTACAGCTGCACAAGCTCATGTCAGGGAGAAGCCCTTGGCTGACAAAGGTGGCTTCCTGCAGCCTCAGGGGGTTTTCTCCAGGATTGTTTGGGCTCAGTTGTGTACGTGGACCCTGGGTTTCTGTGGGACCTGTGAGAGTGCCAAAGCATGGGTAGAAATGCCTCTGCTGCACAGCACTGGCAGCTTTTCTTTGCTGTTCCCAGGGCATTCGCAGCTCCTTAATCCCTTGTACCCAGTGAGATACAAGGTAATTTAATTGGTTTCTGGCTGTCAGGCCTCAGGAGTGTTTTGCAGCCGCTGTGTCCAGCTGTGGGGTATGGGAGTCTCTGGGAGAGTGCATGGTGCAGGCAAGCACAGGGCTGAGGACACACATCACCCTTCCTGCAAACCCCAGCCTAGATTTAAGGAGCCAGGCTTTGGAGAGCCCCCAGCGAGCCATCTCAAGGGAACTGAAGATGTCCTGCATGCCTGAAAGCTGCATGAGGGGTTAATTCAAAGGGCCAGTGCTGAGCAGCTTCCAGCCTCTACCTGCTGCATGTGGGACTGGGATCATGTGTGTAACTGGATTGAAACTCCTGTGCTGGGCTGGAAGGAGCTCAGGGATCTGCTTTCTTTTGCCCTTCACAGCTGTCACCTCAGGGCTGTCTGAGGTGCTCCTGAGCCTTCCTTTTGGGCAGAGTGGGGTATCTTTAGAGGAGCATTTTGGGCAGAGCGCAGCCCTTCAGAGGGGCAGCAGCAAGTGCAGCCCCCAGTTTGAGCTGGATGAGAGCCCCCAGCTCTTGTTCAGCACCTAAGAAGGGGAATGTGCAGCATCACTTGGCTCACTGGTGCCGTATCCCAGCCTGGAGCTGCTTCACAAAGGAAAGGAAGGGACACAAAAAGACCAAGCAGCCAGGGCTTGGACAGTTGAATCCCTGCTCTGCAACATCTTACTTTTACCTACCCTATCAACACCACAGCAGCCACTGCTGGATGCCTTTGCTGCCCTTGCCAGAGCCCCCAGCAGGTACCTGCCCCAGCAGCCACCGTGTCCCTGGGGTGTGGCTGAAAGGTGGTGGAGCAGAGTTGTTTTGTAGGAGCAGAAAGAGGGGATGTGTGTGTTGGGACATGAACTTCCTCATAAAAAAATTCTGTTCAAATTACTGTTCAGCTTCCCTCAAATGAAAAATGATGGGCAGAGTAGAGGAACCTGAGCAGAGCATCACAGCTTCTGTGATCTATCTGCAATGGCTTCCTAGGCAGGACAGGTGTGAAAATGAAACATCTAGCTACCTTCAGGAAAAGGAGGAAGCTACCTTCAGGAAAAGCAAGTTTAACTGAGATGGTGAGAATAAAATAGAGCATTTAGTTTGCTCCCAGTGCAGTGAAGGATGAGGGGTTGAGCTGGGTGTGCCCTGCCTGTGCTGCAGTGCCATGTTTCCCAAGCAGGACGTGGAGACGGAAGGACACCAAGGAGCTGCTCAGGAGACAGCTCAGTGAGCAGCTGGTGCTCCCTGGGCAGTGTGCAGCCCTGCTGCTGGGCTCCTGCCAGCTGGACACCCCTCGGCGCTGCCCGCAGCCAGCGGGATGATGGGCTGGATTGACCGGGTGGTCCCCCAGCCCCCGGTGCCCCATGTGACAGAGGAGACCCCTGTGCAGGAGCTGCAGCCAGCTCAGGTGAGCAGGGAGCCAACCTGGGTGGTGATGGGGACACCATGAGCACGATGAGAGGTGCCTGGTGCCTCTGCATCCATCCCCAGCACTGCAGCATCCCCAGGAGGGATGGGGGCCAGGATGCATTCCTACTCTGAGCTGCTGGGAAGCAGCAGGAGGATGGGGAGTCCCTGGGGTTTGCAGCCACCTCTGAACAGGGACAGTGTCCCCTGTGCCTCATTCTCTGACACCTCCTGCCTTTTGCCCTGAAGGCACCAACAGGAAAGGCCGGTGGCCCCACAGATGCTGCAGAGCGGGCACGCACTGAGGGTAAGCCCCACGCTGGCTGCACATCAGTGCTCCTTTACCCGCCTGTCCCACTCCTGCCTGGCCTCCTGGGGCTGCCAGAGTGGTGATAGGAGCTTGCCTTATTTTCCCCTGCTGCTATTGAAGAAACAGAAAAGAAAGTGACTTTTGTGGTTTCTGAGGACTCAGGTTCTGTGTTTGACAGGTATGGCTCCTGCACCCTCTGTGCACGATTTGCTCGGGATTTTGCTTTATGTTGGGGGCTGGATGCCTTGGATGGTGTCCCCAGCTTGACTCACACCTTTCCCTGGCAGTGTGGGGAGCAGTGTGCTCTCCTGGCTCTCCCATGGGCTGGAAAAGGTGATGCCCCAGCCAGCCCCAGCCCCAGGGCTGCAGGCACTCGGGAAGAGCTTCGAGACAAGCATCGACATTGCTGATGAGGTAGGAGACACATCTGGGAAATGCTTTGTGACATTCCCCCCTTCGCACAGCCCCCTGAATACCAGGCTAGCCCAGAGGTCCGAGGCTGTGAGGGGAGGAATATCAGGAGACGGCAAAGATTTCCAAAAGAGGTTCTTATCCCAGATATGTTGGTTCAGCTCTCTTTATTCTGTGATGTCCATGTGGAGAGCGGGGCAAAAGAGGACGAACAGGAAATGTCAGGGGTCTATATAGATTTTGGACAGGGTGGGCTTCCCTGGCTCTCCACCAACCCCGTTGGGGCAGGAAGGAGGGGTCCAAGGTTATCTTGATCGGAGTCACAGGGTCCCGGGGAAGGGGAAATAGAGTGCCCATCAGCTCACTGTAACAGCTTTGGTGTATTTGAGCTTCTACCTCTTTTTACCTTTTCTTCTTTTTTCCTTCTTACCACTCTCCCAGTGCTAACTGGGAGCACTAAACCAGCCCTGCATGGGTTTTAACCTTCATCCACCCCTGGGGAAAGGGCAGGTTTCCCTCCCCACTCAGTGGGGTGATCCCTCTCTCGGGCTGTCAGGTTTTCAGACAATATGTTTGCCTTTTCAGACAGAGGTCCAGGACCTTGGGAATGAGGATGACGATGGTCTGGGTAAGGAGAGCTGGGAGTTTGTAGTTTGCAGCATCCCGGGACTCCCACATGCCACCTCCCCAGTGATGCGGGCACTATTGTCCCCTTGCGCTGGCTGATGGGGCACCTGAGGCTCCCAGCAGTGCTGATCCCCCATGCCCACAGCAGCGCTCTCCCTGCAGAGATTACTCCCTTCGATGCCGAGGAGGATGTCTCCGAGGGCGAGCCGGAGACCGCCCCGGAGGAGTGGTGGGTGCCCAGCGAGGCTTGGGGGGATGCGGGAGGGCAGGAGGGCGCAGGATGAGCTCCCCGAGCGCGGCGCTGTCCCCGCAGGGCAGGAACACGGGTGCTCAGCTGGCTGTCACAGGGCTTCGAGAGGATTCTGCCGCAGCCGGAGGGGATGAAAAAGCCGGAGGTGAGCGCTGCCAGGCTTGGCAAGAGCGGGGCTACCGGGCAGAGATGAGAGTGGGGCGAACTCCCTGCCTTCATCCTCCTGCACACCCCAGCTGGGACCTTGGGGAGGAAAAGCCGAGGAAATCCGGCAGAGCAAAAGGAGACCTCTGGGTTCCTTAACCCTGATGCAGGGAGGGTGCTTCATTTGGGACTGACGGGTTGGTGTCAGCGGCCCTGGTGTCTGGGTTAAGTGGTTGTGGACACGGCAGTGGGGCTGAAACCAGAGCGGGTGGTGTGTGGGGCTGAGCATGTGGGTCCTCTTGCGGTGGGGACATGTCCACCTGGGGTGGCTGAGGCCGCAGGCAGTGCTCTGCCTCTGTCCCTCTGTCCCTCTGCAGACAGAGCCGAAGGAGAGGAACGAGGGCGCGGTGGAAGGTGAGCGATCCGCGTCCCCCGTGCTGCTGATGGCCCCGCTGCGGCTGGGCTGGGCTGGGCTGCCCTCGTCCCCATGGCCAGGATCCCCTCTGTGCCGGGAAGGGTGGGGACACGGCTCCCAGGGGTGGGGACACGGGTCCCGGCATCACGGCACAGCCCCTACACAGCTCCTGTCCCGGACTGCCCGTGTCCTCCTCGGGCAGGAAAGAGCCCTACACATCTTCTGCCCCCCATCTCCTCCCCGGGCAGGAAAGAGCCCTACACATCTTCTGCCCCCCATCTCCTCCCCGGNCGGGCAGGAAAGAGCCCTACACATCTTCTGCCCCCCATCTCCTCCCCGGGCAGGAAAGAGCCCTACACATCTTCTGCCCCCCATCTCCTCCCCGGGCAGGCTGCCAGGGAAGCCCCCAAAGCCTGTCCCTCTGCGGGAGGTGACCCTTCCTGGCTTGCTCCACTTCCCAACCATTTATGACAGCTCCATTGCCAATCCTCCTTCTTTCGAATGACCCTGAGCAGGCACGGAGGGCACTAAAACCCAGGCCAGGTCTCAGCCCAGCGCGCCGGCGGCAGAGGAGGCGGCGGCGGGCCCGGGGGCCGCGCTGAGCGCCCGGGCCGCGGCTGCGGACGGGCTCAGGTAACCGCGGTGGCACCTTCAGCCAGCTCTGCTGCCAGAGACACGGCTGGTGCTGGGGGTAAGGTCTGGCTGCCGCTTCTAACAGGGGGTTCTCGTCTCCAGGATGTTCAGCTGGTTTGTCCAGGGGCTGGAGAAGGTGATGCCACAGCCGGTGACCAGGGAGAAGCAGGACACTCAGGTAGGCTGTGTGATGGATAGGGAAAGAGCACGGGAACGCCACATCCCTGACGAGCAGGGCGTCCCCTGCCCTGCAAATGCCGCTAGATCAGTGCTGGGACCTGCTGTGCTTTGGGCTCTTACCAAGTTCTGTCAAGAGAACAAGTCCCCATGATCTGCTTAGCTGATGAAAGCCAGGTTTTGGCTCCTAAGCAGCAGGAGAACCCATAGCATGTGCTTTCTTTACTGTTTCCTTGCCTTTCTGTGCAGCACTGGCTGGTGTCCAGGCTCTGGCATCTCATGCAGGCGTGGCCCCAGCTCTAAGAAGAAGCAGCAGGAGCTTTACATAGCTCTCCTTTTCTTCCCTGGCCCCCAGGCAAACTCACTGTTGTGCTCCTGCTCTGTACCATTGAGTGTGGGGATGCTTGTGCCCATAGCCAAGCCATACAACTTGCCACAAAAATGGGGTATTTAGGGTAAAAGAGGGCATTGAGGGTAAAATTTAAGGGTTACTGAAAATGAGCAGTGTCTCATGGTTCCCTTCTCCTCTTGGCAGGGAGTGGCCACAGCAACCCCGAGTCCTGTGGAACAAAGTAAGTGATGGCTCCATTTCTTCATGGTGGTTTGACTGCCAAGCTTGTTATTGGCTTGGGTTACTGGGAAGAGGGGTCACGGGCATCTTTTATCTCCTGGTCTGTCCTGGGCCAGCTCAGGAACCCCTGGAATCCCCCAGGGAAGCCGTGGGAGGTTGTTGACACTTGAGATGAGGGAGCTGTTGCTGAGCTGTGGCATGGGCTTGGTAAAACTCAGGCTGAGGGAGTGTCCAAGTGCAGATCCCACATCCTCAGGTCCTGGGTTTTGAGGTTAGTGCTGATATCAAGGTCTGTCCTGAGCTGTGCTGGAGCTGGAGGGATTTGATCAAAGAATTACAAGGGAATTCAAACCCGCTGCTTACTTTCTCTCCTTTGGTGTTTGCCTGCTGTGAGGTGTCTAGGAAGGTACCCCAGGAAAACAAAATGCTGGGATTGGATGTCTTAGAATGGAATCTGCATGGCTGTGGGAAAACCTGCAGGGTTCACACTGCTGTGTGCCCATGGAGGGGGCCAAGCACCAGCTCTGCAGGCAGGGGGGCTTGTCTCCCCACTGCAGCCACTTTGGGGGATGCTGGACAGAATGCAGAGCCACAGCTGCCTCTGTGGATGGTCTGGGCAGGTTACACAGCCTTGTGCAAGTGCTGTCCCTTGAAAGGAGTGGCTGGTTGGGCTATGGGGGCTACTGATGGGAGCAGGGACAGTTGAGGCACATGGAAAATGCAAGCCCCTCAGGGATATGCTGGGAAGTTGCTCCCACAGGCCAACAGCCCCTTGGCAGAACCTCAGAGAGGGAAATCCTGGGGGAAGGCATTTCTCCATGTGTTTGTACAACCTGGAGGCCTGTGTGCTGCCATGGACCTCGGGAAGAGGCCAAGCCAGGGATGCTGCTGCATGTTCTGGGTGAGCACAGCCTCGGTGCCCAGCTGGCTTTGGTGCCTTGCGGCCTCTCCAGGTCACTTAAGCTGCCCAAGGAAGGGAATGATTGGGTCAAGCAAGAGATCTGCCCTTGCACCAAACTGCAGCACGTTCATTAATGTTTTCCTTCTCCTTTTGTTTCAGGGGGCAAAGGGGCTTAGCGCCTCTGAAACAAATGGAAAATGAAGACCGTGGCCAACCAGCCCTTCCCACACCCAAATGAGACCAACCTGAGGAGAAAGCACAGCTGGGGAGGCAAAGCAAAGGGGAATCTGCAAATGGTGTCTAGCTCCATCCCAGCTGGGGCAGTGGGGACCCAAGGCTGGCACAGGGACTCAGGGCTGTCCCACTTGGCTCCCTCTTTGCTCTGGGAATTGGAGCTACTGGTTTTGCAGGATGGTCTCTATGAGATGGGAGCCATAATTTACAGGATGGTAGAAAGGCATCACTTGGGACACCTCATTGGCAGAAAGATTTTTGCTGCAGTCTCCCAGCACTCCTGGCCCTCTCATTGCCCCCACAACATCTGAATATTCACCCTGAGACCCCCAGCTGAAATCTTCAGGCTTCTTTGAGTCAGCTTCTGCCGCTGAGGTGTAATGTTACAAACCTCCTGAAGCTCTTGTCAGCTCCTTGTTGCTTTTCTTCCAAAACTGAGTGTTTCCTCCCAGCAAGTGGAAAGGGCTCTGATTTGCAGCAGCAAATCAGGTGGGTGAGGTTAATCTCTAGGTGAATAGGTTGGAGTTAATGGTTAAACAGATTTGCCCAGGCTCTAAGAGAACTTACCCCAAACTCTCCTTACCTCCAACTATAGCTGCTCTCTCCATGGACAATCACAGCTCCATGGATGCAGCACTGACTGCAGCAGTGTCACACTGTGACACAAAATAACTCACAGAAGCAGGTTAGATGTAAAAGGAAAGAAAAAGAACCTAAAAAAGCAAACTTTATTTTCTGACTCGAGTATATATACAGTAGTAAATGTGATAGTGGATTGGAGGATGAAATTGCCACCTTTCCAACCGCACTGGTCAAACCAACAGTCCATCAATTCTCTCCACTCACAAAGAAGAATGCAAAAGAATCATTATTTATATGAACATGCATGAGAAAACTCAGTTGAAATATGTAAATATCAGAAGGCATAGGAACTTTTAGAAGAACTTTAAAACTCTCAATAGAACAGGGCGACACAGCAGCAGGATGTCCCAGCAGGGAGGGGATTCCAGGGGCTGTCTCCAGCCCAGGGGTTGCAGGCAGGCATGGCCAGTGCAGGCACACTGGGCTCAGGGGCTGGGAGCCCCTACACCCCAGGTTTTAGACACAGACCTTGGAGCAGCAGACTGGTTTGGGTTGTGAGCGACCTTTGAAGATGATCTAGCCCAACTTCCCTGTCCTGGGCAGAGACATTGTCCATTAGACAAGGTTGCTCCAGGCCCTGTCCAACCTGGCCTTGAACACTTCCAGGGATGGGGCAGCCACAGTACACTATTCCTTCCTTATGTCCAATATGAATGTCCCCTCTGTCAGTTTAAAACTGTTGCTCCTTGTCCTTACAGACCTTGGTAAAAAACTTTTTTCCATATTTTGAATAAGCCCCCAGATGGATTGACAGGCCAGGTTAAGATCTCTCTCACTGTTGCATCTCTCTGGGACCATCCAGGCAACTGTAACAATGAGTTGTGAGCCAAGAGACCGCCCTGAGATCCATCCCATGTTCATAATCAATCTTGCTTGTACCAGGACACAGTTTCAGTATTTACCACATTTTCATATAATGTATCCAAAAGCCATGGTGTGCTTTAAAAGCCATTTCCCTGATTGCTGTCCCATGTTTTAATTAATGGAGATCCAGAGGGAATGGGTTAAAGACACTGTGGACACCATGGGGTGGGTAAATAAGCCACAGATAGGACACTGCATGGGTTTCCTGCCTTTCTGTAGTTCAGTTTGCACGTTTCCTATTAGCTTTGCTGTGGGCATTAGGTTTTGCTGTCAGGCAGACCTCAAAATAAACTGGTTTTACAGCAAGCGGATGTGCTTCCTCCTCCTGTTTCTCTGGTGTGAGCCTGATGTGGTAGGATGGGTACCCCTGGGACTTGGAGAGGGCTCCTCATGGGTCAGACTGCTCACTCTGCAGCTGGCCTACAGCCCCCAGGAACCTGCCATGGGTTTTGCCCCAGTGATGCTGGGAAGAGCTGTGGGATGTTCCTTGCCTGGGAGAGTGCTCAGAGTGGACAGGACGTGGTGCTCGATCTGGGCTCTGGGCTGGGTCTTGCAGACCCAGGGCTCTTGGGCTGTGCTAGGTCAGAAATTCACTGGGGGATCACAAGGGAAAAGGTGTTGGGCTCTTCCAGATTGCAAGGAGGGACAAAACATGGCCTGGAGATGGGCCAGGTCACTGCTGGTGGAGGAGGCTACAGGTGCTGGGAAGCCAGCACTCATCTGTGTGCAGAGGATTATAGCTTTGATAGAATCACAGCATGGTTTGGGTTGGCAGGGCCCCTAAAACTAAACCAGTTCCAACCTCCCAGTTATGGGCAGGAACATTTTGCACTAGACCAGGTTGCCCAAAGCCTTCATGGGGTTTTGGCTGTGCTTGGCAGAAAATGGTGAATTTTCTTCTTCCTTCTGGCAGCTGGGCAGCACAGCTGAGGGGCAGCAGGGCTGCCCAGCTCTGTGCAGGCTGAGAGCTGCTTCAGCACTGCCCCATGGAGCACAGCAAACCTGGGACCTGCCCTGGCCCGACTCCTGGCCTCTGAAGAACGTGCTACTGTCACTTCACCTCCCTTTCCCTGTGGTATTCACATTCTCTGAGCAGAGGGAGATGATTCTCTCCCAGGATGTTTCCTGGAAAGTTGTGAGATGCAGAGAGAAAGCTCAGAGAAAGAAGAAAACAATTCTTACCTCTATTGGCTGCTCCTGTTGTTTGGCACCTGTGGAATGTTTTATGGAGATTGTTTACTAAGGAGTAATTTGTTAATTAGCACCGGTGATGGCTGTTGGGATTGATTGGCCAATTGGGTCAAAGCCGTGTCGTGACAGTCTGGAGACAGTCATGGTTTTTTTTTTTGTATCTTTTTAGTATGATATAGTTCTAGTAGAGTATTAATGTAATATAATTTAACTTAATAAAAGCAATTTATTCTGCTTTCTGCAACATGAAATCAGAGCACGTTATTCCTTGCACAGGGGGGTCACACTACTTCGATATTTCCCCATTCCTGTTTCAGTTCATGCAGCCCCTGGGGAACAGGAGGAAACCCATCTCATGCTGAAAGAGATCGATGAGAGCCAGCTTAATGAAGCGATGATGGCCTGGGCTCACAGGGCTGAGCTGCAGGCAGAGGCTCGTTCCCTTCCCACCATACAGGAGGAACCTCAGGAAGAAGAAACCAGGTAGGGGAAAGCAGATGCTGTTGAGGGGAAGGTCTGTGTGTTCTCTCTCAGGGTCTGGGTGTCGAGGTGACCCCAAGAGTGTAAAAGTCCTCATTTCCCAGCCTGAAGAGCCAAAGAAGGAGTCTGAATGTGCAGGGTCGGCTTCTCAAGGGTGTTTATTTTCTCTTATCTATATCATTCTTTCTCTGACATGCTGAGCTCTGTCTAGCAGCTTGGCCATGGCATTCTGTCTGCACTCTAGGGCAGCATTTACATTTTATACCAAAAACTACATGTGCCATGTTTACAATAACGTGCCAATACTTATCCTTTATGTTGGACAGTGTGTCTCTACCTTAAACCAATAGAAAATTGTCACCATCACACCAGGACAGGGGGGGCAAGAAGAAGGAGAAGAAGGTCAGGACACACCCAAATCCCTCCATCTTGTCCCCTTGAATCCCATTCAAAAAAGCCCCAAATTCTATTTTTTCACCCTGTATTAATTCAACTATCACACTACTCCAACCCTTGTGGCTTGTAATTCCTCATACAAAGTTGGCAGTTTTTTCCATGGGCTAACATTGAAGCCACAGGTGTTTTTGACATCATGCCAGGGTCTCTGAGCCCCCTGCCAGGGTTCTGAGACAGCCAGGGCAGCCAGAGGGATGTCCTGGATTCCCAAAGTTCTCCAGTCACCAGTGTGGTGGCCATGGGAGGGGACAAGCCTGTCCCTGGGCATCCATCCTTGCAACTGCTGGTGCTGGAGCTGGTGGCCGAGGTGCCTGTTTCCAAAAACGGGGGAATCCCCTAGTAGGATCCAAAAGGTGCTTGATCAAATGTCTTTTTCTTCTGGTGTCTCAGTACTGGTTAGGGCAGGCAGTGGCAGAGCCATGGGAGCAATGCTCACAGTGCCCTGCAAAGGACAGGTGAGGGAGGCCCTGCTTGGGCTCCTGGGAGCTGAATTTGGCCCCAAAGCAAGAGGCCTCAGACCTTGTTCCCAGCAGTTGTGCATGCAGCTGGAATGACATTCAGAAATGGAAGTTGTCTCTGTATAATTCACCCTTGCTTCTGCAAAAGAAACCCCTGCTGGGGAATTCCCAAGGCTGGGCAGTGTGCTCAGAGCCAGGAGTGAGCAGTGTCACAGCAGGGGGATGAGAGGGGTCCTTGCAGGCTCACAGAGGGTTTCTGAGCACCCCAAAATGCTCCCTGAGCCCAGCACAGCCAGGTGAGCACAGCAGTTCCCCCCTCCCACATGGGCAGTGCTCAGCTTTGCTCAGCACAAGGTGTGCCCTGAGCCACTGGCCCAGCAGAGCTCGGCCAGAAAACGCGGGACACGCAGAGCCCCTCGCGTGAGCCCCGCATGCACCTCGGGGCTCCAGCTCATGAGCTTCTCCTTTCCAGACTGTCTTTGTGCTCCCCAAACACTACCGAGGAGGAGGAGGAAAAGGAGGAGGAAGAGAGAAAGAAAGAGGAAGAGAAAAGGAAGAAAGAGGAGGAGGAGGAGGAGGAGGAGGAGGAGGAGGAAAGGAGAAAAGAGGAAGAGGAGATGAAGCAAGAAGAGGAGGACAGGAAAGAGGAGGAAGAAGAGAGGCAGAAAAAGGAAGAGGACAGGAAAAAGGAGGAGGAGATGAAGCAAGAGGAGGAGGACAAGAAAAAAGAGGAAGAGGAGTGGAAGAACGAGGAAGAGGGCAGGAAAAAGGAGGAAGAGGAGAGAAAGACAGAGGAGGAGAACAGGGAAAAGGAGGAAGAGGAGAGGAAGGTAGAGGAGGAGGAGGACAGTAAAAAAGAGGAAGAGGGCAGGAAAAAAGAGGAGGAAGAGGAGAGGAAGGAGGAGGAGGACAGGAAGAAAGAGGAAGAGGAGAGGAAGGAAGAGTTGAAGAAGAAAGAGGAGAAGAGGAAGAAAGAGAAGGAGAGGAAAAAAGACAAGGAGAAGAAGAAAGAGGAAAAGGGGAAAGAGGAAGATACGAAAGAGGAGGAGCAGGAGGAGAGTGCAGAGTGAGTGGCTCCCGTTGCCTTTAGGGCTTTGTTGGAATCGAGCGTGATTGCAGCTTTTGTTTCAAGTGCGTTCAGCAGCTGGAGAGGCTGAAACACCCACGGCAGAGCCGAGCTCCCAGCCGGGCAGGGACGGGGGTGCCGGGCAGGGATGGAGGTGCTGGGCAGGGATGGGGGTGCTGGGCAGGGATGGGGGTGCCAGGAAGGGATGGGGGTGCTGGGCAGGGATGGAGGTGCTGGGCAGGGATGGAGGTGCTGGGCAGGGATGGCATGGGGAGGGATGGCATGGGGAGGGATGGCATGGGGAGGGATGGCATGCCAGAGGGATGCCATGGGGAGGGATGGCATGCCAGAGGGATGCCATGGGGAGGGATGGCATGCCAGAGGGATGCCATGGGGAGGGATGGCATGCCAGAGGGGTGCTTTGGCAAACCGGCTCCCCCCAGGGCTCGCTGCTGACGCGGCACCTGGTGACAGGAGCGTCTCCTGGTGACACGGGCTCCGTCTCCATCGCGGCCGCCCGTAGCAACCGCAGCCCCTTTTGCCTTCATGGGAGGCAGGAGCACCCAGCTCCGGGAGATGGGCCCGGCTATTTCAACCATATCCATTAATTCAGGGCACTCGGGATTATTCTGAGTGTTACAGAGCTGAATGTAAAGACAGGATTATGTGTTGTGTCTGCAAATGCTGCTTCAGACAAGTAGGTGCAATTTTACATTTTTTTCCTGTTGTAGAAAATAGCCGAGTTCTTGTGAAAGGTGGTGACTTTGGTCTAGATGGTATTGGGAGACATCTTCCTGCTCAGATTAGTAGTTTGCTCTGATTTCATATGAGATAAACATTTAGGGATTACCTAGTACTACAATATTATTCTGTGTTAATTCCTCTAAAGTAGCTAGATTTTCAGGAAGAAGCTGAAAACACATGATTACTCAGTGTCAAACCCATATGTTTGTATTTCATCAAAGTCTGGTCCTGGAGCTTCACTATAGAAACTTGAGCTTCAGTTGTGGGGTGAATGAGATGCTACTCCATCCTTCAATGTGTTTGTTTATTGGGAAAACAGAGAGAGACCAACAGGTTTTCTAGTTTAGGATGGAAAGATTTATGATCACATTTGAAGAGAGCATAATTTTAAATATTAAGGAGGGAAATTATTAAATATAACAAGAGAGTATTTAGCTCTCTTAAAATTCTTCTCCTTATCCCAAATCCCTGCTTTGCATTTCTTGCTAGGAAAGAACAAATCAAGAGGTAAATGCACAGAGCAACACTTGAGGTGCTTTTATTTCAGTTATGAAGTTATATTAAAGCAATAAAATCAATCTTAAGAGCCCCTTTGTCAGAATGCTGGAGCTGAAGTCTGTGCTTGCTCGGGAAGGAAAACGAGAATTACGTGTCCTGGTGGTGTCTTGCACAGGCAAACATGGGATTTGAATAGTTCTTGTGGGAAAGCCTTGCCTGGAAATTGCATTTTGGCTTTTTATTTGGCCCACTTTAATTATATGAGAAATGATGCACAGGAGGAGAAACATTCTGCCTGGATCTTTCTGCCTCTGCAGTTTTTTGTTATACCTGACAATGCCCTGATTTATTTATGCACTTCTCACCTGGTCTCCCAGGCAGTATTTCTTCTCTTCCTTCCAGACCCCTGCTGCAGCCTCCTTGTCTCCCCGCTGAGGAGGGTGTGGATGAAGCCTGCCTTGCCCAGGAGGCCCTCAGGCTTGAGCAGCTGGAGGAAGCTGAGATAAGTAATCTGGAAGGTGCCCTTGTGCAGGTACGGCCCCGCTCCCTGCTTGGGCTCCCTGCAATGAGCTCTTGCTGCCCTGCAAGTGCTGGGGCTCAGGGCTTCTCCAAGAGGGACAGCAGGCTGGGCTGGGCACAGGACGTGTCCCCATCCCTGGAGGGGACAGCAGAAGTAGCTGTGGCTGGAGGGAAGGCTCCTTTCACCCTACAGGGTGGGCACTGCACAAGAAGTTGAGAATCTGGTGGTAGGAGGGATATGGGGCGTCCAGTCAAGCTGCAAGGTCTGTTCTTTTGCTGACAGAATGGGCTTTTACTCTTTAAAATGGCTTTTTTTTTTCATTTTGAAGGCGGAAGAGGAGACAGCTGAAGCTGATGCTGAAGGTACAGCCTGTAGCAGAACGATGCCAAAGTGGGGTGAAGAGAAGCAGGGTGCCTGATGGAGGGAGAATTGAACTTCTCCTTTCCTGCTGTCAGAGAGCAGGGAACTGACTCCTCTGCAGCTTGGGCCTGCAAGGGCAGGCAGGGCTGTTCACTGGGGTAAAACATCCCGTGGGCACAGCACAGTGGCAATATTGGCATTGTCTGGAGCTAGCTCGGAATGTACAATGCTTAGTCCTGTTGCTTAAGCAATCCCTGATGTGAAATAAGAGTTTCTCTTTCAGCTAGAGGATGTACAGGGATAAAAAGTATTTTCTCTAACACTTTTCTCCCTTTGGGAAATAATCAGTGGCATAAAACACGTTTTAATGTAACGTTATAGGAAGCAATGGGTGGTAATGAAAATCAGGTGGTGAGTTCCCACTGCAGCCTGACTGAGCAAAGGCACATCCTGGCAGAACTCCACTGGCATCAGGGAGTTGCACAGGGAAGGGCTTGCCCTCACCCCTGAGATTCTCTGCTTGCAGCCCTTGCAGAGGGGCAGCGATTCTAGAAAATGCTGATTTGTCAGGAACTGTAGTGATAGGACAAGTAAAAATTGAAGGAGGGGGAATTTAGGTTAGGTTATTAGGAAGAAATTTTCAAGGTGAGGGCGGTGAGATATTGGAACATGTTGCCCAGGGAGGCTGTGGATGCCCCAACCCTGGCAGTACTCAAGGCCAGGCTGGATAAGGCTTTGAGCAACCTGGAGTAGCAGGAGATGTCCCTGCCCATGGGACGTGACCTTTAAGGTCCCTTCCAACCCTTAACCTTCCATAACTCCACCAAAAACACGTGCTAGGATGGCCAGCAGTGCCAGCAAGGCTTGTGAGCAGCAGGCAGCCCCGGAGCACAGTCAGCCCCGCACCCCTGCCTGCTGCAGCCCTCCCTTCTCCAACCTCTCTGTGTTCTGTTGCAGCTGCAGATGCCTTGTCCCTTGCTTGAAGCACCTAGCAGGCTGCTGGCAGCATGGCCAGGCGGGCCCGGGACGTCGAGCTGCACCAGCTGGTGCAGGACAAGCCAGGGGCTGGCAGGGACCCCTCCCCTGCCGGCTGCGGGGCTCGGGAGCTGCTCCCCAATGTCCCCAATGTCCCCAATGTCCCCAATGTCCCCAATGTCCCCAATGTCCCCAGCTCCCGAGCCCCCGCTGCCGCCCGCGCCCCCCGCCCTGGCGCCAGCAAGCCAAAGGCTGGACTTGTCAACCCCAATTTTTGCACTGAGGAGCAATCCCCACTAGGTATTAGAGATGTTGGCTTTGATGATGGCTTTGTGTAGCTAGAGGGGCGTGGGGAGGGCGGGGGGATTCCTGGAGTAGTTGCTTTTTTGTTGCTTTCTGGGGAGGGGAAGAGTTAAAGAAAAAATAAAAGCACGCTTTGTGTTGCAGCACAGAGGCTGGGGGACAAAATCCATGTGTTTGTCTGCTTCTGCCTCATCACTGTGTGACTTTTTAGCTAAGCCTAGAGAGTGTTTGCAAATGCTGCGTGTTTAGAGCTGCTCAGAAAAGCTCTCCTGAAGGACCTGCAGGCAGAGGGTGCAATATCACCACAAGTTTTCTCTCCAGCATTTGTGCAGCCTGTTCATGCTAAGAGGAGAGGAAGGTGGAGGTTTGCTGTTCATGGCTTTCTGCCTTTTCTGCAGCTTTGCTTTGCTTTGTTTTTCACCAGCAAGCTGAATTCTGCTGCTTTTCCTTACATGCAACAAGATTTTAACTTTGCCACCCAAACAGGCCTTTTCTCAGGCATTTAGTCAAGCCACACTGGTCCACTAGCTTCACATCAGTGTGAAGCAGGAGAAGGTGCATGGGGTCTTTCAGATGTGTGAAAACCTCCCACAGAAGGAATCCTGCAGGAATTAATTTTATTTTGTTAAATAGCTAAGACAGACATCACACTTCACAGCCAAGCAACTGTGGGGTCTGGCCAAGGTAGTCCCCAGTGCCATTTCTCCTTTGGACAACTGGCATCTTACTTTACCCACTATAAACATCCAACCTTCCTGCTTCTGACCATGCCTGGGGCAGGAAGCAGTTATTATTTCTGCAGAAGAAAGAAGCCATTAATGCTTATTTAAATAGTGTCTTATTCTGCATGAGAAGCAAACATTGTGTGGTTCAGAGCTGTCACAATCCATATGTTTACATTGAGAAGAACCAGGAGAATCTCTACACCCTGAGGGGCAGGCTTGCTCCTGGAAATCCTGGGTTCCTGCATAGCACCTGCAGCTGGGAATCCTAATGTCCATTGTTTTGCAAACCACGGGAACCCAACACTCAGATGGAGTAGCTGAAATCACTGCAAGCTGGGCAAGCAGAAGGGCAGCAGATGGTAGTTCTTAGAGTGTTAAAAACTGGAAAAAAAAAAAAAAAAAAAAAAAAAAAAAAAAAAAAAAAAAAAAAAAAAAAAAAAAAAAAAAAAAAAAAAAAAAAAAAAAAAAAGATAAATAATGCTCCAAATGCTTAGGAAAAAGGAGAGCCAGGCCAGAAGGGAACGGAGGGAGGAGAGTGCTTCCCACACACTGCAGGGTCTTGGGGCAGCACGGGGTGTGGGAAGCACCCCTCACTGCCATTATTGTCCTTCTCCTCGGAGCAGGAGACTCCCCCAGCGTGGAGATGGAGGATGGGGACAGCCCAGGCCGAGCTGTGGAGATCCAGGGCAGGCACGGAGCGCTGCCAGCCCCCGAGCTGCTGGCGGTGCCCGGCGCAGCTTCCCCCAGGTACGGCTCTGCCAGCGGGCACACAGCCCGAGAAATGCTCATTCCCAGCACATTTGGGCAGTGGTGTCACCCCAGGGCACAGCAGAGGAGATGGCCAAAGCCTTGCCCCTTGTTTCTGGTTTTTAAATTACATTTTGTTTACATTTTTGTGGCCAGGGACGGCCCTGTCTGTGTGTCCTCCTGGAGATGGGCTTGATCCCCAGGCCACGGTCAAATTCCATTTGTCTGTTGTCCACCTGTCTCTGTTCCCAGATTCAGAGCACAGAGGGTCTATGTGCTGGATATGAGCCTGCATCTTAAAAATAAACAATTTTTTTTCTTGTATCTTTGCTGCAGCGTGTCCCCCCTGGGTTTGAGCTTGCAGGGGAGTGGTGGAAGCCCCATCCTGCACAGTATTCAAGGCCAGGTTGGATGGGGCTTGGAGCTACTTGGCCCTGCCCATGCCAGGGAGCTGGACTGAATTGTCTTTTAAGGTTCCTTCCAATCCAGACCCCTCAGTGATTCTATGCTTAGGGAGAGGATTAAAACTGAGCTTTAAAATTTAGGCTGGTGGAAGCTGATGGATTTTTTTTCTGAGAGTCACTCTTGCAGAGGATTCAAAATAAAAGCTAAAGTGGGATTTTTTCTGTGCTGAAAACCAGGTGCTGTAGTCATTCTCACTTAATAGTTTGGATATTTTAGTTTTTGCTCCTGGAGGAGCAAATAATAAAATTGTAAAAACTCGGGAAATGAAGGTTCATCAGTCTTGTTCACCTGTTCCACCTCCCAGCAGGACACACCTGGGAGCCAGTGAGGCTGAAGGTGGTGGTTCACAGCATTTGAATCCCATTTGACTCCCATTTCTTTGGGAGATTTGTGATGGCAGGATGACCTCCCTCAGCATCCTGCCTTCTCCTGCTCCACACACAGCACTGAGACATTTTGTGCCATGGCCAGTGGGATCAGCAGTTGTGGTGGCAGGAGACAATTTCTTCATCACAGCTAAAGTTCTGGGCTTGACTGCAGGTTTGCAAACCAGTCTAGATTTTTGCTGGGACAGCTATCTTCATATTCAGTTTCCCTTCTGACACGTTTCTTGCCCTGAGAAATCCATCTGTGCCAAAGGGAGCCCCCAGCTGTGTTAGGACACAAGCTCTAGGCATTGCTGGCATTGCACTTTCCTTGCCTGCCTCTGGAAGTGCAGAGATGTGAAGCTGTGGCACTGGGGTGATGCCTGTCCTCCCTGCATCTTGCCAGGTACCTAAATTGAGTTGCCAGGTGGCTGCATGTCCATGGAGCCAAGGGCTTGTTGGTGCTCAGGGAGAAATAGGTCTTTAGCAGGAAAGGAGCAGGGGGGGTTCACTCCCAACTACTCCAGGCAGCGCCAAAAATTAGGGGAAACTGACCCCATTAGGAGAAGGGGGAATGGAAAACAGGTCACACCTGGGAGGGGGAGGAGGGAGAGGAGCCAAGCCAACCCTTGGTCTCTTGTGTTTGTGTCTGCAGGAGGAAGCGACTGCTCCCAGAGGATGCTCTGGACAAGGGGCTGGTGAGTCAATCCCCCAGCAGAGTGCTGGGCTGGGAGGAGGAGCAGAGGGAAAGGTGAGTAAAGGGCCAGGGACTCCTGATCACCAGGGGCTCACATCCTGGGGCTGGGGTGGAAAGATCCCAAATATCCTTTAGGAGAGGGAGCCATGCCACTTTGTGTTCTCCTCACCACACAGTACCCAAATAAGCACAGGTAAATCCTCATTCAGCTGCTGTGGGTTAAAGAATGGGTCAACACTGGGTCATGGTTCAAGGCCAGGCCGGATGGGGCTTGGAGCACCCTGGTCTAGTGGAAGGTGTCCCTGCTCATGGCAGGGGGCTGCAATGAGATGAGCTTTAAGGTCCCTTCCAACCCAAACCATTCCAGGTTTCTCTGATCCCATGAGCCTGCCCTGCCCTTTCCTCCCTGCATGAAGTGCCCGCTGGTGTCCCCACAGCCCGCCCGGGCGCTGCGGCTCGGCCTCCAGCCTGAGCAGCGCCGCCATCAGCAGCCGGCTCCAGGAGCTGGTGAGGCTCTTCAAGGAGAGGACTGAGAAGGTGAAGGAGAAGCTGATTGACTCCGATGTCACCTCGGATGATGAGAGCCCTGTGGCATGTGAGTTCAGGTGGGGCTGGGGGTGTTTCCCTGGTGGGTCCCCATACACGCTGTCTTCTGGGAGGCAACTGTTCTATTAACAGTTTAAAGACCTTAAGAAAAAGTGCAGCAGGAAGATTTTTCTGCCCTTTGAAATAATTGTGTGGACTCTCCCAGCTCCCACCAAGCCAGCACCTGCAGCAGCACTGGTGCCTGCCCCAGGGGAGCTGCAGGGGGACAAACCTTTGGGGGATGACCACTACTGCGAGATGCTGTGCTGCACGTTCAAGCACCAGCCCTGGCTGGACCGCCTGAAAAGCTACAAATTCCCCAGCAGCATCGACCCCCTCACCAGTGAGTGATGGAGCACAGCCTGGGCTGGGCCAAGCTGGTGGCACTGGGGGACAGAGGGTGAGGAGCTGGGGAGGAAAACTAAGCAAGAAGCAACTTAGTTTTCACCAAAGCACAGAGTTTTAAATTCCTCTGCAAGGCATAGGCTTTTCCTAAATACTTCCAGCTGTGGGTGTCAGGAGCAGGTCTAGGCATTCTGCTTTCCCTGGGTGTGGACACCCCCACAAAAAATGAAAATCACAAAAGAAGATTCTACTGCCTTGTGGCCACGCCACAGAAGCCCAGCTCTTTCCTTAGTCTTTCATATTCCTCAGTCCTTTGGAAACCTCTGGGCTCAGGCAGCCAGCCACCAGTTCAGCATGACTGGAGGGGAAAAACAAAAACAGGGAAGTTGGAGTTGTGGGAGCAGAGCAAAAGCAAATATAGCTGAATGAGCAAATTTAGAAGAAGCTTTCTGATAAAACGTGGTGTGTTCTGTGACCAGGGGTGTTAACCCTGTGCTAGAGCCCAGCTGCAATCACTGTCACCAAGAGACTTCCTGCAGGTTTTGCTGATGTGCTGAGGGCAGGTCAGGGGATGGAAACCTCTGTGCAGTGGGCTCCCAAAGAGGAGGGATGTGTGCCCAGCTGATGGTGCTGCTGTTCCCTGTGTGCAGATCTGATGTACGTGCTGTGGCTGTTCTTCGTTGTCATGGCCTGGAACTGGAACTGCTGGTTGATCCCTGTCCGCTGGGCTTTCCCCTACCAGACTCCAGCAAACATCCACTACTGGCTGCTGGTGGATTACCTCTGTGACCTCATTTATCTGCTGGACATCCTCATCTTTCAGACCCGCCTGCAGTTCGTGCAGGGGGGAGACATCATCGTGAGTGGCAGGGCACTGCATCCCAGCACTGTGGGACCTCCCATGCCCATCACCCTCGGGGACATGGGTGCTGCTGGTCTCTGAACTGAGCTCTCTCACCCTGGCCACGGCCTTCAGGGCTCTGGCCCCTCCCAGAGACCATGAGCACCTCTCCTGATACTGACTGGATAAGCCAAGCCTTTTTTTCTGCCAAACACACCATTTTTCCCTATAAAATCATTGCCATGCTATCCAGTACTGTGTGGTCTGTGGCTCCTGTAGCTGGGTAGGGATACCTGCAGGGTGCTGCTCCATGGGGTGGTTCTGCCCGTGGTGAGGTGCTCACTGACTGGCCCTGGCACAGCCGTGTGTGCCAACCTTGGGCATGGGCGTAGCAAACTCTGGGGTTAATTTTCAGTAGCACTCCAGGCAGGATGCATTTGCAATTGCAATCTAAACGCACAGATCCCATGCCTGAGATAAGGGAAGCCCTTGATTTCATTTCCATATTCAATTAAACAAACTGAAAAATCACACCTTGAGGGTACAGCCTTCCTGTGGCCATGCAGATGCTCAGACAGGCAGTTTCCCCTCCACATGCTGATTTCTGTGGTGCTGGCACTGTGATGTGCTTTTCCTGGGATGCAAAATCAAAACAGGATGTCCCAAGGTAGGATGGGAAGATGGCCAGGACTTCTCTGCTTGCTCTTCTCCCCTTTCTGGGCACAAAGGGAGCATCTTCCCTGTTGTGGTGCAGAGGAGGAAAGCCAGGGATGACCACATTGGCCCTAACTTTCCTTTCTCTAAGCAATAATCAATTTTCCTCTCTCTCTCTCCTTCTTGTTCCCCACCAGACTGACAAAAAGGCCATGAAAGAGAACTACCTGCGATCACAACGCTTCAAGGTTTGTCAACGTTTTCTTTATTCATCTGAATCTTTCATCTGCCCTGTGGGTTCAGCCCCACCCCAGGGCTCCTGCAGGTCCCCACTGAGGTTTCTCCCTGGGTGGATTTCAGATGGATGTGCTGTGCCTCCTGCCCCTGGATTTCTTCTACTTCAAAGTGGGTGTCAACCCCCTCCTGCGCTTCCCTCGCTGTCTGAAGGTGAGTCAGGGCTTACAGAATCAGGAGAACAGCAGCTGCAGGGCACACAGAGGAGTCCTGTGCTGGCTGGGGTGAGCTATGGCTTGTTAAACTCGTCAATGATGACAGCAGGATTATAAAATGGAGGGAAGTTTTGTCCCAGAGGCTTTGCAGGGCTGTTGGTCAAACACTTCATTTCAATCCTAGGCTACTCACGTTTGACTAGAAGGGCACTTTTGGATGGAGACAAATCTGCCTGTGGCAGTCCACGCTGCAGAGGGGCTGCAGGAGGGAAATGAGGGGCAGAGGGGTTTTATGGGGAGGTGACTCTCCCAAGGGAGCCTGGAACATGCAGCTCTCTTCTCCTCCCAGTACATGGCCTTCTTTGAGTTCAACAGCCGCCTGGAGGCCATCCTGACCAAGGCATACATCTACAGGTGAGGGCCAGGGGGCAAGGAGGGAACATGGAATTGCTGTTTGCCACTGGGGAGGAAGGTTCCCTTCATTCTGCACTTGTTCTGTGTCCCTGATTTCTTTCCCTGCTGTGCCTGGGCTGGCTCACATGGACTTTGGCTGATGTGGTGGGACATCAGGGTCCCAAAGCCTGCAGGGGTAGGATCACCTCTCTCCAGCCCACGGGGTGCTGGCAGTGAAGGAGAGCATCAGCAGATAAACTGCTTTTCTTGGCACTTCTGGAGCTGCAGGGCCGCAGGAGGCAGCAGCAGGGTTGGGGTGCTCTGTCACCACTTCAAGGCTCCTGCTGATCCCAGGGGGGATCCTGACATCTTTCCCTGGCAGCCATCATCTCCCTTCCTGCTCTCTCCTGGGTTTTTCTGCAGGGTGATTCGGACCACTGCCTACTTACTGTACAGCCTGCACGTGAACTCCTGCCTCTACTACTGGGCCTCAGCCTACGAAGGGCTGGGCTCCACCACCTGGGTCTATGATGGGGAAGGAAACAGGTACAAGCCAGGGCTGGGGGGTCTCACATAGCACAGCCTGCTCAATGAGCTGGAGCAATGAGGGAGGTGTTGGGATGCAGCTGGATCCATGAAAACCCCTGAAGCAAAGGGTTGGGAGTGCCGGGAGAAGATGTGGAGCCAGGGAGAATGTCAAGCACAGGAAGGATGGGTGGGCAGTCGTACACAGTGCTGCAGGATGAGGCTGCAGCTGGGCAGAGGTGGAAAGCAGTTGCAGGTTGAAGGGGCTGAAGAAGTGGGATCTTGGTGCTGGGAAAAAAGGAATGCTCCCTGGCCAACCAGGACCAGAGTATGACTTCTGTTCCTGTCTGTGTTGACTGTTGCCAGGTTGGGATGGGAAGTGACACCATGTGTCCCTGTGCCCTGTGCCAGGCCCTTCAGACCAGCCAGGGTGTGAGATAGGGACAGTGGCCTGCCCTTCCCCTTGCCATGGCAATACCCATTTTAACTGTCCCTTGTGCAGTCAGTGATTGATGCTACAGGCAGAATCCTTGGCTCACAAGCTGAATGCCCACATCTGTGTTAATGCTGCTGCTAGAGAGTTATTTTGTATTATATTAAATCTGTGTCCATCTTCAGGTGGAAACAAAACACCCAAGGGAATGCCCAAGACCTGGGAATCAGGAATTCACTTGGCTTCTCCTAAATCCCATGCCAACAATTTGCTCACAAACATGTTTTTTCCCCTGATGATTTCTAAAGGTGTAAATGTTGCTGAAAATACATTGCTGGTTTATGGCAGATCTGTAAGGAGTAGAAACCAGGAGTAACCAGAGCTGAGCCTCCCAGGTGGAGGTTCCTGGAGGGACCATTGGTTCCCCTGCTCCTCTAGCATCTCCAGAAGTACCTGCAGTGGTGCTGGGGAGGCCGAAGCCCTTCAGTTTTTCCTTTTGTCATCCATAATTACTCTCAGCAGGCTCTGGCTTGCCATGGCCAGAGGCTGTGAGCTCAGTACTGAGGGGTGAAAGAGAAATGCCTTCAGAGCTGCCTTCTCTTCTGCTCCTCTCCATTTCTGCTCTCCTCTTCTCCTCCCAGCTACATCCGCTGTTACTACTGGGCAGTGAAAACCCTCATCACCATCGGGGGCCTGCCAGACCCCAAGACCCTGTTTGAGATCGTCTTCCAGCTGCTGAACTACTTCACAGGCGTCTTTGCTTTCTCTGTCATGATAGGGCAGGTGAGTTGTGTCAGGGGGGATTTACAGCCTCGGGTGGGGGTGATTTTGGTGGGCTTGATCCACAGGTTTGCTTCTCCGGGTTTGTTTTCCCATTGGTGCAAGACAAAAAGGATTTGGCAGATGCTGTTCGGGCTTGGCTGACATGCTTAACCTGCTGATGGATAAGTGACAGCAACTTTAAGTTCTCCTCCACTTCTTCCTTTCAGATGAGAGATGTGGTTGGTGCTGCTACTGCAGGACAAACTTACTATCGGAGCTGCATGGACAGCACCATTAAATACATGAACTTCTACAGGATCCCCAGGACAGTTCAGAACAGGGTGAAGACGTGGTACGAGTACACGTGGCACTCCCAAGGCATGCTAGGTGAGATCCAGCCACTCCAAGGGTGAAGGCTTGAATCTCATGTTTTATCTCATGTGGTTGCTCTGCAGAGCTGAAATGTTGCTGTCAAATAGCACTACAGTTTGGGGGTGGAGGGTGGCTTATTTTACTCCTCAGCAGAGGGGCTTGTTTGCCCACCTATAGAGTTTACAGACTGCCACTGGGTCACAGCATTTTGGTGACTTGGCATCACTTACAGCACACTGAGACCAGTGTCCCACATGCCCTGGGGAGAGGACAGTGACTGTCAATCGCTGGCCAGAGTGTGCCCAGCAGCAAAGCCTCCAGCTCATCAGGCAGAACCAGAACATCTGTGCCCACCCTCCTGGACAGGAAAAAAGCTGATTTGGACTCAGTGGTCTGTTTCTGAGAGCCATCAGGACAGGGATAATGATATAGAAAGGGTGATTTTCCATCACACTTCAGATTTAGACCTGCAGGTTGCTGGGTGTGCAGAGGCTGGAGGAGACCTTTCTGTGCAAGCTGCCTCCTGCCCTCTGCCACCAGAACGTGGGCTGCTTCCCACTGCCACATGAAGGACACGCTCTCAGATCAAGTGCAGGAAGCAGCCACTTTTCTGCTTTGTCTCACAGATGAGTCAGAGCTGCTGGTGCAGCTGCCAGACAAGATGAGGCTGGACATTGCCATCGACGTGAACTACAACATCGTGAGCAAAGTGGCCCTTTTCCAGGTACCCTCTGCAGCACAGGCCCCCATGGCACAGGCTGCCACGCCAGCACAGACTAATGCTGGCATGTTTTGGCTCTGTTGGACTCAGGGCTGTGACAGACAGATGATCTTTGACATGCTGAAGCGGCTCAAATCAGTGGTCTACCTGCCCAATGACTACGTGTGCAAGAAGGTAACGGGATGCTTGGGAGTCATGGCCAGGCTGTGCAGGACACTTGGGAGAGCCAGGCCTGGCCATCACCCTGGTGAGCCACCTCACAGGGAGGGAATTTGGGGCAAAAACATCCTCAGTGGAAGCTGGTCCTGTGCAAAGACTGACCTGTGCAGCTGCAGCTCTGAACAGCAGGGGAGCAGGGGAAAGCTTGTTGGAATCTTTGGGATGCTGAGATAAGAATGCTCAGGAGAGAGCACCATCAAGACATTTTGGGAGCTCGGAGAGGGCAGTATGGTCATGGGGATCTCCAGCAAGATGCTGCTTAGGGCATCCATGAGGTCTCCCTGTTTCTGGGTGTCCCAGCCAGCTCCCCTGTTCCCTGCAGGGAGAAATAGGCCGTGAGATGTACATCATCCAAGCGGGACAAGTGCAGGTGCTGGGGGGACCTGATGGCAAATCCGTGCTGGTGACTCTGAAAGCTGGATCTGTCTTTGGGGAAATCAGGTGAGAGAAGCATTTTCAGGGAGCTGGGGAAATAACAGCTTGTGGGTGAGGAGGGTGGGAAGTGGAAGGATCAGCAGCATCCCAATTAATCTTTGTGACTGAGAGCCATGAACACTGGGCAGCGGCTGAGGCACAAATTACAGCTTTCCTGCTGTCATCCTGCTGTCTTCTGCCTGGGGAGCTGGTGATGGTAAACTGGGAAATATGGATGGAGGAATGGGAAAATTGATCAGAAAAGGTGTTTCACAAATACAGTCTCCCAGTCATTAATGCAGCTCTTTCATAGGAATGAAAAGCCCTGTTGATAACACATCAATACTGCTGCCTCCCCACAGCCTAGCAGACACTCGACTGGTGTAAAACGCAATATTTAACCCTTCAAACCCACAAGTAATTTTTTGTATAGTCCTCCATGCAAGGTTTCCCTTTATCATTCTTTAAAAATTGTTCACGATAACTTCCATCAGGAGTGAAATATAAACAAACTGAGTCCCCTGAACAAGAGAGGTGCAGACGTGTAAAGGAGATTTGCCGTTCTAAGCCTGTGAACAGAGGTGTTGATGTTTGCATTGTCTCTCCCAGCTTGCTGGCAGCAGGAGGGGGAAATCGCCGAACAGCGAACGTCGTGGCCCACGGCTTCGCCAACCTTTTTATTTTGGAGAAGAAAGACTTGAACGAGATTTTGGTGCATTACCCGGAGTCTCAGAAGCTGCTGCGTAAGAAAGCCAAGTACGTGCTGGGCTGCTGCTTTCTAAAAACCTGCGGGGGTTTGAAAACAGCCGAGCCTGGGCTTGGCGGTCTCCGGGGAGTTTTCTCTGCTGTGAAGCCCTGGGAAAGCTCCCGCTGCGGGGATGGATGCTCCCGCTGCCGGGGATGGATGCTCCCGCTGCCCGGGATGCTCCCGCTGCGGGGGATGGATGCTCCCGCTGCGGGGGATGGATGCTCCCGCTGC